TGCGTTAAAAAAATAAAATAAACATATTTGTAAAGTGGGGGGACACAAACGGGATTTCGAAAAGTGGGGGGGACTGTCCCCATGCGTGTGTGTGCGTCAAGTGCAATAAATATGCAAGTTGCAACACACACAGAGTAAAACTCTGGCCCTCATGTGCTGTATAGGCTGGCACCACAAGGCTGTTCAATGGGGCTGATGTGTTGTGTAGATTCTGCCAGAAGGAAAGGTCAAACTCCTTATGAAGCGGTGAGCTGCCGCTCCACATTGCTTTTCTTCCAGACTGCAACGCTGGTCCCGCAAATCAAGCAAGAACGTGATTGGTCGATATTCATTGTGGGGGGTGGGGGGAGGAGGGGTGTTAGATAGATATAGAGTTGTAGTAAGTAGATAGAGTTCGCTATGATTGAGGTTTCGTTTATGCATAGGGTAGATTCTTTTAATTACATTTCCTTTATTTTTGGTGTATTTTTTACATTTTGGATTTGCTTGGCGAGCTACTTATTGAGGGCTTGCGAGCTACCGGTAGCTCGCGATCGACGTGTTGGAGACCCCTGCTTTAACTCCTATGAAAATGTTCAAAAAGTGCTCAAAATTCACATGTGTGCTAACAGTCCAGCCGTGAAGACATCTACGAGACAGTTTTGAGATTTCTTCAAATGCCGTTGCCATAGCAACACAATGCTCATAACTTCAGTGAAAATGCTTCAAACGGCCCAAAACTTCACAGGTTTGGTAATGATGCAGCCATCAACGCATCTAAGCGTACTATGGGGTGTCATCAAATGCCGTTGCCATGGCGACAGACCACTCGCCATGAAACACGATGTCGCTGTAAGTCCAATGGACACGGTCCAATCGTCCCCCAATCTTCACTTGTATATCACCGGTCCATGCCTCAACAGCTCTACGCCAAATTTGAAATCTCACCATATGCCGTTTCCATGGAAACGCATCCCTCGCCATAAAACCCGATGTCCCTTTAACTCCTATGAAAATGTTAAAAAAGTGCTAAAAATTCAAATGTGTGCTAACAGTCCAGCCGTGAAGACATCTACGAAACAGTTTTGAGATTTCTTCAAATGCCGTTGCCATGGCAACACAATGCTCGCCATGAAACACGGTTTTCTCATAACTTCAGTGAAAATGCTCCAAACGGCCCAAAACTTCACAGGTTTGGTAATGATGCAGCCATCAACGCATCTAAGCGTATTATGGGGTGTCATCAAATGCCGTAGCCATGGCGACAGACCACTCGCCATGAAACACGATGTCGCTGTAAGTCCAATGGACACGGTCCAATCGTCCCCCAATCTTCACTTGTATATCACCGGTCCATGCCTCAACAGCTCTACGTCAATTATGGGGTGTCATCAAATGCCGTTGCCATGGCGACACAATGCTCGCCATGAAACACGGTTTTCTCATAACTTCAGTGAACATTTTCCAAACGGCCCAAAACTTCACAGGTTTGGTAATGATGCAGCCATCAACGCATCTAAGCGTATTATGGGGTGTCATCAAATGCCGTTGCCATGGCGACAGACCACTCGCCATGAAACACGATGTCGCTGTAAGTCCAACGGACACGGTCCAATCGTCCCCCAATCTTCACTTGTATATCACCGGTCCATGCCTCAACAGCTCTACGTCAATTATGGGGTGTCATCAAATGCCGTTGCCATGGCGACACAATGCTCGCCATGAAACACGGTTTTCTCATAACTTCAGTGAAAATGTTCCAAACGGCCCAAAACGTCACAGGTTTGGTAACGATGCAGCCATCAACGCATCTAAGCGTATTATGTGGTGTCATCAAATGCCGTTGCCATGGCAACAGACTACTCGCCATGAAGCACGATGTCGCTGTAAGTCCAATGGAAATGGTCCGATCGCCCCCCAAACTTCGCTTGTATATCACCGGCCCAGCCCTCAACAGCTCTACGTCAATTATGGGGTTTCTTCAAATGCCGTTGCCATGGCAACACAATGCTCGCCATGAAACACGGTTTTCTCATAACTTCAGTGAAAATGTTCCAAACGGCCCAAAACGTCACAGGTTTGGTAACGATGCAGCCATCAACGCATCTAAGCGTATTATGGGGTGTCATCAAATGCCGTTGGCATGGCGACAGATCATTCACCATCAACTTAGTTCAAAAGTTTGCAGTTCAAATATTCTGCTGCTTTTCCAAGCCTTTTTACTTTCTTTTCTTCACTCATCACACATTCAAGCCCCCAGTGTTCATGTATCATTTCAATCTAAATTCTTCACTTTCTTCTTACACATTACATTTCAGCATAGCAGTTTAGCGTCAGATTTTCAGCATAAAGCATTCCCACTAGCAATTTCTTCAGGAATTGCATTCTCTAGTTGGAATGCTGTTATCAGCATTCCCACTAAATAAGTAGTGATCAGATAAAACAGGATTATGAGCACTGACTGATAGATGCTCAATTTGAATACCGTATGTTAGAACAAGGTCGAGGGTGTGGTTGAAACAGTGGGTTGGTTGATGTACATTCTGTCTAAAACCAATTGAATCTAATAATGAGGTAAAAACAATATTGAGGCTATTATTATCAACGTCAACATGAATATTAAAGTCACCCACAATAATGACTTTATCGGTTTTAAGGACTAAACTTGATAACAATTCTGAAAATTCAGATATGAATTCAGAATAAGGACCTGGGGCCCGATACACTGTGACAATTCATATTGGCTGAATTGTTTTCCAAGTTGGGTGCAAAAGACTAAGAATGAGGCTTTCGAAAGAGTTATAGTTTTGTTTTGATTTTGTATTTATGAGAAGACTTGAGTCGTAGATGGCTGCGACTCCACCTCCTCGACCAGTGACTCATGTTGCTAGCAACATGAGCATATATTTATGTGTTTTGCTAATGTAAACAAAGACCATATTACGTCCAAAACACGTTGTGCATTGTTTCTGATAGCAACGTTTCTGATGGGTTTAAAGCCAGCCCACATCTCCAATATTACGTCATATCGGCAGCAAATCAGGATCAGCTCTGTTGTACCCCCGTTTTTAGAGATGTGGGTACGGAGGAAAAGAGAGGGTTGTGTTTTCTGACACTGTGTGAGTCTCCTTACACAATAGGGACACATATTTATGTATAAAAGACATCAAAAAGTGCATGTTGCATGATAGGACACCTTTAATTCTTCTTGTAAATATATATATATATATATATATATATATATATATATATTTTATGGAGTAGATGGACACCTGATTTACTAAATAAAAAACATGTGTTTACTTTTAATTAAAGTTTTAAGCTAAAACAGAATTTGTAAACAATAGTATTCTGTAGGCCTTGCCTTAATTTGTGATGACACATTTTTCTGTTGTCTTACATAATAAACGTATTTGTATATATTTGTATATTTCTTTACTTTTGTAATGATTTGGTTTGCATTTGACATTGAGGTAATCCAAAAGTAACCGAAAGTAATCAGGTTACATTACTTTTATATTGTGTTACTTAGATTGCGTTGCTGATTACATTTATTTTTTACAAGTAACCAGTAATTGTAACGAAATACCCTACCCTGCTGAAGCGGGACTTCAGCTCCCAGAACAAGGTTTCAGTTTGGAGAGGATAAAGTAAGTTGTGTTACTGTCATTGTTATGTAGATATACGTATTAGTACTAGAGAAAAATACTCAGTGCTCCATTTGACGTGGGCTGCACTACACAACGTGCAGCTTTAAAGGGTGATGAACCACTCTCTGCCTCCTACAGACATCGAAACACCCAGAGAGCAGTGAAAGTGGGTGGTGTGACTCTGTAGCAACCTCCACATGTACATGAACTCATGTCTAAAAAACAATTCATGTTAAACTAAATGTTAACCGGGGAGGAGGCGGTGAACATGCCAACATGTCTTCAGGCAGAGCTCCATTCATAATTTCTGAAGAATAAAGTTAGCAACAATCATGAGTTATCATTGAAGACAGAGAGACTTTCACATCTACAAAATGTAAGACAACTTATACAAATAAATCAGTTTTGAAAAAAGACACCACACACACAGTGAGAGGTCTTCCTGTCCTGAACAATCTCAAACAGAGCTCATTAGGAAGCCTCACCTTTTGGAACTTTATCATTTAAAATAAATGTACTTCCTCTTCATCATGTATTCAAAGTCAATCAAATCCCAAGAAAAGAATGAGAATGGAACTAAATGAAAAGACAAAGGCTGCTGTTTTGATGTGACGGACACAGAGCGGGGCTCCAGCAGTGGTGAGGTCAATGAAATGTGAAGAAGGCCGGATGAGAAGTCCTCCAGCGTTTCATTCAGACTTCCCTCAGCAGATTACTGCAAATGTTCATGTATGGGCCATGTATAGTATGGGCCATGTATAGTATATACATATAGTATGGGCCATGTACAGTATGGGCCATGTATAGGCCATGTATAGTATATACATATAGTATGGGCCATGTATAGTATGGGCCATGTATAGTATATACATATAGTATGGGCCATGTATAGGCCATATATAGTATGGGCCATGTATAGTAAGGGCCATGTATAGTATGGGCCATGTATAGTATGGGCCATGTATATTCAAGTGTAGAACTCTTGTCACTGTGGATGATCTCTACAACATTATTCATGACCCCAGTGGAGATTAGAGTTGTGTGTGTGTGTGGCTAACAGCTGTGCACAGATTAAAGCTGAGATTTCCTTGGAGCAGCTGTGTGTTTGTGTTTCTGTAGCATCTTATTTTCTTTCGTATATTTCGGTGTGTTTGCAGTGCATGTCTTCATGTCTTCAAAGCGTTTCTTTCATTGAGTGCTGTGTGTGTGTTAAACTTGCAGTAACCCAATGTTGCTTTGGAGTGCCCTCGGACACTAGAGCCATCTCGAGGAAGACTTACGGAGCACGACTCCTCTTCCGGCTGTTGGTTCCGACCCGTTTGATCATGGTGTAACATGAGGCTCAGTGAGGTAACACGGACGCATCACACATCATTTCCAACCTCTCTGTGTTTATTAGAGATGATACAGTGTTGGCCTTTCTGACATTTATACAAAACAAACAGAAAACTAGACAGCAGCTTCTGGTCGTCTCCACACACTGACATCCTGCCCTACTGTCGTCTGGAGACAAGAGTGTGAGTGTTTGTGGGGGGGTGAGTGTGTGTTTAGCAGTCTGTGTAGGTTTTTAGAAGATGATTGACTAGTGAAGGCTTATTGCTGTTCTCTCAGCCCTCTCACTGTGGAGCACTGTCAGCAGCCGCCGCTTCACTGTACTCAAAGCAGTGTTACTGGAGTCACACAGGTCCACGTCGGTTAAGTTCATGTTAGTCTTGTGTCTGTGGAAACAGGTGCATCATGGGTTATCTCCACTTTAGCTGACTATTAACACAAAACAAGAGTCACACTGGAATATTTTACTATGGCTGTATGAACATGTTTTGCCATAATGCATTGATTCTCAGAAAATCTCCATCAGTTTTGAATGCCAGGTCACCATGCAGAGTGGGGTGACAGGGGCTCAGAGTGCACCCCCCACTGTTCTGAGTGCATGTTTGAATATTTTAAATTCAGCCTTCAGGTTTATGGTGGTGTTATTTATACTTTTTCAAACAATAACTGATAAACATTACAATATATAGCCTTGCTTACAGTATTACAGTACATTTTGAATTTTCCTGTTTGATATAACTTTTGTCTCTTTGGAAAATGTAATTTGTAATTTTGCTGTTGTTCATGATTTTCATTTAATAGTAATGGTGAACAACCAGTCTCGTCCTGACATTACCCATGAGCCTCAGCTGCTGTGGAGAAGGTGAAGCCTCCAGCTCAGAAATGAGACAACACTGCAAACTGTTTCCATGGACACTGGTTCCCTAGCGTAAGCAGGCCAATCATTCCTTAACGATATGACATCACAGAAGCTGAGGGTTCTGCTCCAGAGGTTTGAAACTTTATTCAGAATCACTCAGATTAAATAAGTAAAAATGTGGTGGTGCAACACAACCTTTGCTCAGCAGCTTGCTGCATGGTCCCCATATATTACATTACATTGCATTACATTACATGTTACATGTTAGACGCTTTTATCCAAAGCGACTTACATACTCAATACTGTGGGCAATCCCCACAGGAGCAATTTGGGGTGAAGTGTCTCAGGGACACAACGACATGCAGACTGCAGTGGGGTTTGAACCTGTGACCCCCTGATCCGAACACCAACACACTACCCACAGCACCACAAGTATATATACTTTTCATCATCTATGCTAATTAGGTTAACAGCTCATATTTAATCAATCTTACATAAAAAAACCTGGAGATTAAATGGAGACTTTAGCCGACATAGAGAGCAGTCCATCAGTCAGGACCTTTAGCTCAGTGAGAGGACAGTGAGACAGCTGCTGGCTGACAGTGTGGGCGGAGCCTGCAGAACATCCATCACATGGTATTTACATCCACCTGTCATCACACAGCTTCACCCACTTTAAATGTGTGCGGAGGACAGGAACCTGCAGGTAGATGTGTGTGTGTCTGTAACGGGTCATACACAATAAGACTCACATTAAGGCTGACCTGTCCTTATAGTTCTGTGGATCCACAACACACTGACGTTCAGACACACACACACACACACACACACACACACACACACACACACACACACACACACACACACACACACACACACACACACACACACACACACACACACACACACACACACACACACACACACACACACACACACACACACACACACACACACACACACACACACACACACACACACACACACACACACACACACACACACACACACACACACACACACACACACACACACACACACACACACACACACACACACACACACACACACACACACTCCTCTGGGGTCCTCTGCAGAGCCACACTCTGAACTGTCTCCTCTCCGGTGAGCAGCAGAAACCTTCACACTGAACTTCTGCTGATTCTAGATCAGGGAATCCAGTTTCATCCAGAGCCGAGTGTTGGGTTCGTCCAGACACCAGTCCCAGTCTTCCTGTCGCGTGTCTGTCTGTGTGTGTGTGTGTTTGTGTGTGAGAGCTGGCCTCAGCTCCAGCTCGTGCTCTGGAGTTCTTGGCGAAGCCAGGACGGCAGCGGGTGGCCCAACCGATTCAGCAGACGCAGCAGCTCCATGTTGTGCTCGCGGTAGTATTCAGTCAGGAAGGTACGGGACTACACACACACACACACACACACACACACACACACACACACACACACACACACACACACACACACACACACACACACACACACACACACACACACACACACACACACACACACACACACACACACACACACACACACACACACACACACACACACACACACACACACACACACACACACACACACACACACACACACACACACACACACACACACACACACACACACACACACACACACACACACACACACACACACACACACACACACACACACACACACACACACACACACACACACACACACACACACACAAGAGAGATTGGGAAATGTCAGAGGTCGGTACACAGTAGTTCAAAGTGTAATGATATGCTGCTGGGGGGTTTCTGCAGTGCTTCACGGACTGCTGGGGTTTGAAGGTTGATATTCTATGTTTTTGTTATTGTAAAATAATTATAAAAACTGTTAGTCCTGTCTTTGTTTCCTACTGAAGGTTTTAACCTCTAGAAGCAGCTCATTCCCTCAAACAGTTGCTCTCTGTAGTTTCTAACACATGTTATGGTGCATTTGTAGGGGACTACTTTCAGCAGCGGAGTAACACATGGTTGGTGCTCTACTGCAGTGCTTCCTACAGTGTGTTTAAAACAGGCCAAGGTGCCACAATATTGTATTAAAGGTGGGGTAGGTAAGTTTGAGAAACAGGCTCGAGATAAACTTTTTGTTATATTCCATGGAATGCTCTTAACATCCCGATAGCAATGAATATCTTAAGTGCTTTGACAAAAAATCCATAAAAAAATGTCATCTGTGGAAGCCGTAGTACTGTAAAAAGCACGACCAATCATTTTAGCCGGCCCGGCTAAAATAACTGGATGGCCTACCTGCCTGTCAGCCTTCCATCTGTGCACAAACTTATCTTGTGCCCTCATTGGTCATGTGCGCGTTCGTGTGTGTTGGAGGAGGGGCTCTGTAAGGAAGTGGCAGATTTTTTCCGGTTGTGTATTTTCAAATTCTTGCGCACTCGAGCTGGTTTCTCCAAAATTACCTACCCCACCTTTAATGTAAACATTGTAGGTACAATTGTATTATTACTTATAGAGTAAAAACAAGAGCCAAGATTAAGTGGACCAAAACCATTGTTTAAATGCTTCTGTTGGCTCATTGAGTGAAGCAGAGTGAGATGTACCTCAGGACTCATCTCCGGGTACTTCCTGCCTTTACTCTTCCCCAGACATTTGGCTCGACCTCCCTCACGCTGACACCAGAAACCTTTGCTGTCATCGTACCTGCTGACAACAACAGTTTATTTCACACGTGATGTATGGAAACATATGCTGGTTTTAACTCTCTTCAAAAAAAATTATGTTTTCTATCTAAATGTTGAACTTCCAATGTGCATAATGTGTGTGTGTGAGTTACGAACATTAGAGCCTGGGTGTAGTTGAAGATGGGAGTGACCCCAAGGAATCTCTGGATTCCCTCCATCACAAGTGCAGGGTTGGAGCGCAGCAGAGCTCCGTCCACGATGTGCAGCTACAACACAGAGCACAGTCACATGATCAGTCACATGATGATACAGCTTCTGTACAGCCGTTTACATCGTGGCAGTCCCCCAATGCACCTCCCACAGGAATGTAGTTACCACTGAGATCATAATCCATGCTTGCATCCATTGGTGTTTGAGTAGCCATTATTAGAATTCCTTTATTTGTCCCGCAATGGGGACATTTACGATATTGAAACAGCAAGAGTATAGTTCAGATTAACTAAAAAAGAGTTGACTTACATATTATATAAAAAAGTAGACACACGTTATTAATAATTAAACACAATAAGTACAAAAAAACAAGTAACAGATAAGTACAACATGGTAGAAAAAAAGAAGTATATTTTAAATAAATGACCATATAAAATATAGCAGTAGCTGGTGCTGTTAACAGGTTGAAAACCACAGCTGGAGATGAAGAATAGGATAAAGTAATAGATAGAATTCAACACTGATCCAGTTCCCAATACTGTGTATCCATCATACACACACATTCTACAGATACATCTTCTCTGTAACACACCTCAAGAGGAAGTGTTCACATCACAGTATACTGAACACACACAGCTGATCTGACTGCTAGGCTAACATCAGCTGCCTGTTAGGATTGTGTACAGCCTTAACAGGCATGTGATGCCTACGTGTGCTGAACACAGTATCTATAGCAACAAAATATTCCTGTTAATGCTCTGTCCATAAAGTATTATATATTGAGTGGTAAACCTCAGACTGGACAGCAGGGGGCAGCAGAGCATGTTGCAGCACTGTTACCTTTGCTACCTGTGTTCTGGGGCCTCATTTATAAACGCAGCGTACGATCAAAGGATGATTCTCTGTGATTTATTTAACAAACTTGACCGAACAATGTGTGGTCCTCCAAGGACACTCTGATCCATGCGTACGCACAGAGACGGGAGACATGAGAAACTGCGACACCATTGACCGAAGGAAGAATGGAGAGAGACATGTAAAACAATACCATAAATCTCTCTGCATCATATATGAAGAATACATTTACAGAAATGGGTAAAAGCCAATCTTAAAATGATTAAACAAACGCCTGTTTGATACTCCTGAGAGCACACAAAAACATAACTTGGAGAAATAAATAAATACGGATATGTTATTGAAAACTCTCTCTTACATGTTATGAAATGTATTCTAATAAATGACTTTGAATTGATGCCGTTTTGCATTTCTGTAGGTCGTGTAGATACGAGTGCATAGTTTTATATACTATATACAGTAATTATGTCTCAAAATGTGTTAAAATGGTTAAGCCTTTTTGATTTTGTTTTAAACGGAACTTTACAAATAAAGTGAATTATTATAATGCCAAGACGTGATGCTCCTAAAACACAAGAGGTATGAAAACTAAGAACAACATGTGTCAATTGTACAGCTGGTCACACATCTGTTTTATTTCCTTTAAAAAGCATTCACTTTTTCGTACAACTTATTGATTTATTTTGGTGACGATCCGACCTTCATGCTGCATCTCTTTGTAAACTTCAAACTGCGTCCACCAAACAATCTGATGTATTTGTCTCCACCTCCCCAAAAGAACCAAAATGTGTCACTGTGAAATGTTGTTTTTTAGCTGTTGTGTCGGCATTTGCTACGATCTTCTTAATGCAGTCAGTCTAAATGAGTATTAATATGTTTCTTTGACTATTTATAGGGAAATATGGGCGTTACGTGAAGCCCGCATTTCCAGTTGATTGTGATTTATAAAGGGAAACCGGCGTAGGACGTGCGTGCGCACTGTTATATAAATCTGGATATTTTATGTGTAAGCACTTCCTTTGTTCCTACGTACGCCATCTTTATGTAGTGCTTGTGAACTTTATTGTAACTACATGAAACCTTGTTTTGTCAGCCAGATTTTACTTGTGTTAAAAGGCCTTTTATTGTAGCTGTGTTTCCATTCACATATTTCTATGTGCATTTTAAAGTGTCTCATTCGATAAGCTGTATTGAGAAAATATTTATAATGCCTTCTTAAGGAGGTTTTTGCCGTAAGGAAAATACCTGCAGAATAAGTGTGTTGTTAACATTTAAATCTTGACGTCTGATCAGCTGTATCTGTTATTCCTTATTGTCAGCATTAAAAATGGAAAGTGCTAGCTAACGTCAAGGAGGAACTAAAACGTTTTTTTCTCGTAGATGGTTAGATGTTTCTGGTTCAACCTCTACTTGTTCTTCTATGTTTACTGAAGGATCAAACCATGCAACTCCTGACCATAGAGGAGGGAAACTGACCTCTGAAGATATTTTTGAGACGTTTCCAAAGTTGCTTTAAACCTCACTTGACAATTGAATGAACCGTACTGATGTGTGTGTGTTACCTGTGTGGGCTGGTAGTGCTGCAGCCAGCGCTCCAGGTGAGGAGCGTAGGCTCCGGGGTGAAGGCAGCGTCTCTGAAGGGCCAGAAGGTCTCTGGGGGACGAGAGGCCGCCCGTCACTACTGCATGGAAAGTGTTGTTGAGGGCTGCAGGGTCCTGGTGGGCCCTCTGGTGCTGTGCTCATTAAAACACACACACACACCCATTTTAAGAGTTTTGAACTGCTTTTAAGTCCCAGCACAATGAGGACCCTGCACAGTGAGGATCCTGCACAGTGAGGACCCTACACAGTGGGGACCCTGCACAGTGAGGACCCTGCACAGTGAGGACCCTACACAGTGGGGACCCTGCACAGTGAGGACCCTACACAGTGGGGACCCTGCACAGTGAGGACCCTGCACAGTGAGGACCCTGCACAGTGGGGACCCTGCACAGTGAGGACCCTACACAGTGGGGACCCTGCACAGTGAGGACCCTACACAGTGGGGACCCTGCACAGTGGGGACCCTGCACAGTGAGGACCCTACACAGTGGGGACCCTACACAGTGGGGACCCTGCACAGTGAGGATCCTGCACAATGAGGACCCTACACAGTGGGGACCCTGCACAGTGAGGACCCTGCACAGTGGGGACCCTGTACAGTGAGGACCCTGCACAGTGAGGACCCTACACAGTGGGGACCCTACACAGTGGGGACCCTACACAGTGGGGACCCTGCACAGTGAGGACCCTGCACAGTGAGGACTAGGGATGGGCATCGTTAAGGTTTTAACGGTACTACTACTTTTATCGATACCGCTTATCGATACCGCTTATCGATCCGGTCCTCTTATCGGTTCTTTTGGAGAAAAAAAACGAGGTATTAAATAATCTGATGACAGAACTGTAAACAGAATAGCTGAAACTTTAACAAAATAAATAACTCAGTTACCTCTAATCATTAACCCATGTTTGTATCAATGAGTTAACTCCGTGTGTTGCTGCTAGCATACATAATACCTGACGTGGAAACGTTACTCGTGGATGGGGCAACAGAGCTACTAGAAAGACAGTCGAACCCGGTGCATTTCTCCGTCTGAATGTGGTGCACTTTTGCTAAATGTTTAGACAAACTGCTCGTGTTACCGCCCTTACTTGCTAAACTCTTATTGCACTTTAGGTAACGAGCATTGTCCTCATCGAGACGGGTAAAGTTTAACCACACCTCGGAGCGCTTAGTTCTCTCCTCCATCTCCTCCGTGTGTGTGTGTGTGTGTTGCTGCATGTAGCAGCTGCGTGTGTAAACTGCCCCGCCCCCTTACACACAGACGGGGGAGAGAGATCTCTCGTCTGGATTGGAGAGATCGAAAATACTCAAAATAATCATAGACGCATTTTGCAGTCTATGATTAGACTGCAAAATGCATGTTAGAAACGGAGTTGGCGACACTAAAACTGCAATATAATGTTTGTGTAGCAATAATACACATGACATATTTTTTAGATGTCTCCAGTACCGAAAAAAAGACCGATAACGTCGGAGCTTAACGGTACCACGGTCTTTAATAATTCAGCCCCGGGGCCCGTTTAATACCGGGGCTCGGTGCCCATCCCTAGTGAGGACCCAGCACAGTGAGGACCCAGCTAGCGGGGAACGTTCTCACAACTTTGGCTAACGTTACCTACAGGTTCTAATAATGTTTCAAAGAAACGTTTTCATCTGATGTTCAAAGAACCTTTTGAGGATGTTTATTATTTCAAATAATGTTCCTATAAGGTTTAAGGTTAACTAAGACATAACGTTTTAACTGCAACATTCAGAGGATGTTTTGAGGATGTTATTAAGGCCTGAGATGACAGAAAGCTTTTTATAAAACGTTCCTTTAATGTGATATGTTAACAAAGGTGGAACGTTTTGCCTGCAACATTCTAAGGATGTTTTTTGGACGTTGTTGAGGTAACACAGTACAGATGTTCTTTTATAAATCATTCCCTCAATGTTACATGATAACAAATGAAGAACATTTTCAAAGCAACATTCGGATAACGTTTTCAGGAGGTTATTCTTTTTTTATAAAACGTTCCTGTGATGGCAAATATTAGCACGGTCATGGTCAACGTCAGATTTATTTGTAGAGCGCTTTAAAAAACTAACTTGTTGCATTTGTTTGAAAAGGATGTTTAAAAAAAATCTGATGTCACCATATTTTCCTTTTGAAAAAAACAAACAAGCACGTAATTCATGATAAGCTGTAAGCAGATATTGCATGTTTCCGGTGGCATGTGTGAGTTCCCAGCTAGACATTTTGGTTCTAAAAACATTCTGAGAATGTTACCATTCATTGTTCTAGGAATGTTTTCAGTGGGACGTTTTATTTTGATTCCCAGAATGTTCTTCTGAAAGGTAGGATAACGTTCTTTAAAAACATTCTTGAAATGTTTGGTGATAACTTTCTTAAGATGTACGAGCGCATTGAGACAATGAATAGGACGTATAAAAACGAATTTGCATGCCAATATTCACTCACATGCACTTATAATCACGCTAAGGTATGTAGGCCCACAGTATTCATAATATCATATGTGTAAAATATCAGAAAATAATCACACTTTTTTCTGACTATAAAGGTTGTGTCTCGTATGTAGGTTCTAACTGTTAGATAAGCTATCTGGCCGTGTGTGGTTTGTGAGGGCTGCGTATAAACAGTGTCCGCTGTTTATGCATAGTGGATACAAATCGTTATTGCACCCTTTAGATTTGAGACCGACAGACATATAGAAGAACGGATCGACTGTCACTGCCCGTCCCTGAAACCCCTGTTAGTGTTTGTACCCCCTGCCTGCTGGCCTGCTCTACACGGCTGGGAGCAATCTCCAATCAACCACACCTGCAACCTGCTCATCAGCCACACTATGAAAGCCTGCAGCCTGCACTCATTCCCTGCCGGATTGTTGCCGTGAAAGGTTTGTTGCGTGCCGCTCTAGCTTTTTGCCAGCATATTCTTTGACAACTTTACCTGCTTTTGCCTCACACTCATTTGTATGTCTCTCCCAGGAGGAATCCAAGGCCTTCCACACTCCCAAGACCAGCCAGGCCTCTCTACCCACCCTGGAACAACTGTTTCCCACTGCCGCCATAACCAACCTCCACTCCCAGCTCCCCTTTTCTAATAAACAAATGTTACTTTCACCAGCTGATTCCGAGTCTGATTCTGGGTCCCCTCCAGTACATGTGACACCGACAGCGACTTGTACTAGCTGCTGGTCGCATTTTAAAAAAACAAAAAACTTCTGATAAATCGGAACGATAAAGCACGTTATCCTACTAAAATAATAACATTCTGGCAACATAAAAAAATCTAACTTGCAGCTGGAAACGTTTTAAGAACAGTAGGGCATAATGTTCTAACAATGTTATCAAAAACATCTTAACCTGTTAAGCACCAAGCCTATGTTTCAGGCTCGAAAATGACTACAACTTAACTTCTAAAAGGGTTATATGAATAATTTATTTTATCAAAGCAAGGTTACATCTGTGAGTTGGATGTAGAAGTGTCAGAATCAATATAGATGTTTTTTATTTTAAAGAAAATTCAGATTTTACATAGTAAAAAAACTGTAAATTATAGTGTCCGTCCAAATATTCTTTTTTACTTATAGTGAAAACTACCCTTGGATGATGGGTTAGTAGACTAAAAGCTTTAGGAATCCAAAGTACAACATATAATAAGTACCCTGTATCAAGATTGATGCAAAACAAGTGACATTTTTAGAGAGGTTTAGCCAAAACCACCCCACCTCTGAGGTGATTTGGGTGAAAATGGTTGACACCTCTTTCTGACCGTTAGAGCCAATAGAATCGAAGGGGGAGGCCCCCACACACACTCGTTGTGAAAACAAACGGTGGGGGCTTCCCGCATGCAGGTTTGCACCAGAGTGAAGCGATCTCTCGCTCTGACATTTGGAAACGAAAAAGCAGTTTTATTGCTTATGGATTATCAGAAATCATTTCAAAGAGGACACAGACACATTGGATTAACCTATGGATTAACTGCAGCATCGTTTTTTTATCGTTTTAATGCCATTGAAGACCAGTTTTGACCAAGGTAAGCCATGTTAGCGTTTGTAGCTACCTAGCGCCACATGTTTTGATGTACGTTTTCGTTTATAGCGTCGCAAATGTTTATCACTGAGTGTTGAGGTGGGCACCAAATGATTCTGTGTCTCCAGGCGATGCTAATCGAGGGGTTGGCTGTGCATCTAGGATAAGTAATAAGGGAGTTATGAGTGAGTTTAGGTGCAGTGATAGGTTACATTTTTTCGCTCGTGGCTAATTCAGAGGCCGAGTGTTAGCATTGTGGGGTTTTTTTTGGAAAAAAAAATTAAAAAGATCAGTTAGCTGAGTTTCTTCCCGTTACATGGATATAAAACATTCATAGTTTATTAAATATTAAGATTCCTTAGACGTTGTTTCCTGCAAATGACGCGTTTATCCGCCCGGTACCGGGGGGGCGGTGCGTAACAGGTTAAGAAAGTTATCACCAAACATTTTAAGAATGTTTTTAGAGAACGTTATCCTACCTTTCAGAAGAACATTCTGGGAACCAAAAGAAAACTTCCTGCTGAAAACATTCCTAGAACAATGAATGGTAACCTTCTCAGAATGTTTTTAGAACAAAAAATGTCTAACTGGGTACCCTGCACAGTGAGGTCCCAGCACAGTGAGGACCTGCACAGTGGGGACCCTGCACAGTGAGGTCCCAGCACAGTGGGGACCCTGCACAGTGAGGTCCCAGCACAGTGGGGACCCTGCACAATGAGGACCGTGCACAATGCGGACACACAGTGGGTGTCAGGGCCCTGCTGAGTGTGTGCTGGTCTCACCTGGTACCAAGAGTAGGCCCTGTCTGCTGGGTTGATGAGCACAGCCAGGATCTTGGCTCTGGGCAGCAGTGCAGCAGCTCTCTTAGGAGCCGCCTCTGTGGCAAAGTAGTTGGCACTCTTTTCAAACATGAAATCTGTGCTGACATTGGAAGGGAATGGGAAGAAGTCCATGTACCTGAGGATCGAAAATAAAACCAGTACCAGTCAGCTTGTGTCTAAATTAGTACTTAAATCCCCGGGCCTTTTGTTCCCGTTATCTTTCACTGTTACTGTTTGAATCACAAAAAGAGCAGATGTCACACTGAATAATGATTACAACTCATTTCAAATACTGAACAAATATCCTCTTGTTGGAAGCTGCACTAATCTGGAATTTTGTATAACGTACGTAAGCCCATGTGCATAGTGTAGCCGCTCACAAAGATCCCTTCCCTGCATATGGGGAGGATGAGTGATCACACATTGACGTTGACATACATTCAGTGAATGTCAGGTAAGTACAACATTAATGGAAATGAATGAATCAAATAAACTTGTACTGTCACACATGTACAATTGTACAAATGCACAATACAGCACACAGAGTGAAATTCAGACTAGCAGTATTAGGAGCAGTGGGCAGATACTGTACAGCGCCCAGGGAGAAGTGTGGGGGTCCAGGGTCTTGCACAAGAGAAAAAAATAAGATAAGCTAAACTGAACCTAAGAAAATAAGACGTATAAAGTTTTAAAGTAAAAAAGGAATTCAAATTCTAGTCATATTGTGTTCAGTCTGTCACCACGTTTATGGGACTTTGTGAAGGCAGTGTTTATGGTACTCCTGTTTTACCAGTCAATCCCGTTGTCATAGTTTGCTCCACTGAAGAACTGGATCTCCTCAAAGGTGTTGGGGCTGGGAAAGGAGCTGGTGACTGCTGGGTGGAGGCTCAGGAAGGAATGAAGCGCTGTAGTGCCTTGAGGAAAGAAGACATTTAGAATAGCAAAGACATAGATATATTGACTAAGATAAAGATGAAAAGCAGACAGAGTGCGCTACCTGTTTTCTGTGGTCCAATGACGAGAAACTTGGGCAGTCGGTCACAAGTCTTTTCTTTAGACCAGATATCTTTGTGTCTCTTATCATGACAAGGGTTCTGAAAAATATTCATGGAAATGCTTTTATTTCAAAGTACCTGCTATATTCAGTTTTCAAACACGTCTGCAAAAAACATGAGCTTGAAAAATAACTAAATCAAAATTCTGACCTGCCAGAGAGGGTCTCTCTCCTCGGGGAAGATCTGGAAGTATTTCTCGGCCAGGTGGACGGGGGGCAGCGTCTGCAGCCGGAGGTTGGTCCAACACTGGACAAACTTCACAAGAGACTCAAAGGTGTAGAGACCCAGCCGGTCATTGCCGTAGTTGGACAGGTGGGTCATGAAGATGCTGATCTGGATTGGGCAGGCACAAAGTCATCCGTTATTGTTTCAAAGACACAGGTAGCAGAAAAATGATCATTATTTAAATCACACTACAAGTATAGGGATAACTCTTGACATGCAGAATATCCTATTACAATGTTCTTTTAAAACATTTGAAACAAGATAGAACCACAAAAAATGTAAACCTGACTGATATACATTTTCTACACACACACTAATGGAGGTATTGGAGACACAGGCTCAGTATGTTACTAATATAAATGAGAGCTCCAAAAGGAAGAAGAAAAACATGCACACTATTGCTGTTGGTAATCTCTATTGGTCCTAAAGTCAAGTCCCCTCCCAAAACTGCTCTTTTCCCTCATGTCTCAACTCAAGTAAATAGCTGCGATGGAAAAGGAAGAGTGACGACTCGGGCAGAAGATGAGAGTGTGATGTGCACCGCTCTGGTTGCGTACAGGGTTGAGGAGGACGGTGAGGAAGAGCTCTCCTCCTCTGATGCTCTTGTCCAGCTCCTTGGAGCCTCCTGGGTATTCGTTGTAGAAGATGGTATGGGTGAACAGCCCACAGGTCTGCCTGGGCAGCACCTGAACACAAACACAGGTTGTTGGCTATTTAGAGCTAATGTGGTTTTGTTGGCATTTTTACAAACTGGTGACATTGTAGCTTTGTAATTAAACAGAAGTCTAATGGACTTTTGGATCAATAGGAACAGCCAGAGCCTGATCCATGTTAACCCTTTGATTGTTTGCTCTTGATTCTGCTCTCAAATGTCCCATTGCACTCAAATAAATAACAGTAGCACTGCACAGTGTTTAGAATAAAGAACTAGCACTGTATGATGTATGCATCTGTGGTGCAAAGGACACATTTTTTTATTTTGCATGTATTAGAGATCCTGCTATATTTAGCTATATGATTCTTCTGGAAAAGCAGAAAGGCTGAATCCAAATCCTTTCTGAAAAGATTCAACTGGAAACTCCTCTCCCTCGGACACAATTTACAGATTATCACAACTTTACTTTCTTAATTTTAAGTTTCTTTTAAAGCGGAGTTAGTGAAAGGTTTGCTGCTGTACTATGTATACAAATGTTAACATTTTCAAAAAACATATCGAACCAGACCTGCACCAGGCCTCTGAGTGTGTATGTCTCATTCAACTCAGTACCATAAACTTGTATTGAATGTGTTTGTGATATGTGAGCCTGATGTGGCATGCTGCCAACCCTTTGACCTGAGCCTTGTTACTGAAATAGATTGCAACGAGTGTCTTTCTGCATAAAGCGTCCAAAATGTACATTAAGGTCACACAAAGTGACGGTGTTACTATTTTCTGCTAAACTGAATAATTTACTGCTAAAGTTTTATTAAAACTTCCACATCCATCTTTATTAATGAAGTGTGGAGACATTTCTCAGTGTGGAGAAATGTTGACCAATAGGAACCTTTTGGCGATGTGGACTGACCTGGATGCCATTGTGGATGAACCCGCGGCGGTACCGGGCTGGCCTCAGGTGAGGGTACTCCTCAGTGCTGGTCACCTTAATGCTCCACACAGACTTCCAGGCCTCATAGAGCTGGCTGTGAACTGGGTAAACCCCAGAGTGGTGCGGAGCCACTGCATAGCCCATATCTGTGGGGATCCCATGCTCCTAAAGAGAGGACAGGATGTGGGCACATGAGGAGGAGCATGGGAACGACAAGAAGATAAAGTGTACTGCTGATGTACATACCCACATTCCTTTCAGTGCTATTCCTACAATGTCTAGAACAGGTCCAAAAGACCTCCACACTCTTTGAAGTTGACACTACTCCTGTGGACATGAAGTCGTAACACTAGCCATTCACTGCACCTATGGTTGAGTGTTGTTGTAGGCCCACAGCTACATACTCCTTCCACCCTCCACATAGCCACACACTGTGCCTTGTCACAGAGAATTAGTGGTGCTCACCTGAGCAAAGATCTTGTTGAGCCTCATCTGCTCAGCCAGGACGCTGACGTTGTGAAAGAGGTGCGGCTGCATGTGGCTCCACATGTGAGGAAACCACCAGAAGTCCATCCTGTGTTGCAGCAGCATGTCATCTCCACGATCCTCTACATCAGTACCTAACACACACACACACACACACACACACACACACACACACACACACACACACACACACACACACACACACACACACACACACACACACACACACACACACACACACACACACACACACACACACACACACACACACACACACACACACACACACACACACACACACACACACACACACACACACACACACACACACACACACACACACACACACACACACACACACACACACACACACACACACACACACACACACACACACACACACACACACACACACACACACACACACACACACAGTCATCAGGCAGTGAAGAGTACTCGAGTCCTGGACTCGGACTCCAGTGTCGATTTTCGGGACTCGACTCGGACTCGCGCACTGATTGACGCGACTCGGACTTGGACTCGTGAATTCTCGATGACTTGGACTCGGACTCGTGAATTTTTCCCCCCACGATGACTCGGACTTGACTTGTACATTGACGCTCCGACTCGAGCAAGTTTTCTCTGGAGTCTGATGTCCTCTATCCCTGCGTGTGCACCGGCTGCGAGGCGAGTTCACGTACTGGGCCCCGCTATTCCAGTCTAAAGATGTCTAGAGACACACCCCGCATCGTGCTGTATGCTTTCACACATTCTGCTTCCACATTGGAAAAGAGCAGCGCAAAATGCTCGTTATGTAGAAACAATATTGAAGAGAAGACTCCGTAACACATTCTAAGGATCGAGTTCAGACATATAGGCTGTCTTGAACACTATCATCAGAGTAACCTGATCTAATCAATAAATAAAGATTCAGCCGATAACACGAAAGCACATGGCTACTTAACATGCAGAATGATGTCATTTTGCATGCTAAGTAGCCATGTGCTTTCTGGGGCTTAATCTTCATCAGTAAACCGATTTAACCGGTAAAAGTTCCGACAAAATAATAGTCCCGATCTTATTACTATCAAAATAAAAGTGCAAAACGAAAACTTTACCATAGGAAAATATTGGCATACAAATATAATCACTTCTCTAAAAGGTAACTCATTTTAAATATAGTTAGACATATTAAAGGTCATTTACAATAATAATAATAATAATAATATTAATATTAATATTAATAAGTAATAAGCTTTATATTTGTATAGCACCTATTACAAGAATTGTAGCCAAACTGGCTTCACAGCAATTCAATAGACAGATTAGTATAACATGACAGGATAAAAGTAATGTAGAGGAGCAGCTACATTTCAACACATATATCCACGAAGATTAATACATGAAGACTTGTGACTCGGACTTGACTTGGACTCTTCTTAGGTGACTCGGACTTGGACTCGAACACAGGTAATGATGACTCGGACTCGACTCGGACACTCCTTGGGTGACTCGGACTTGGACTCGAACTCGACTACGACTCTCCCTTGGTGACTCGGACTTGGACTCGAAGAGTGGTGACTCAAGAGTGACTTGGACTCGTGAATTGGTGACTTGACTACAACACTGGTGAAGGCTTAGGTAAAGAACGTCCTTTACCCATTCATCTTTAACTGTATCTTAAAAATTCTTCTTCAGTTGCAATAATGGTTTCCAATGGTACATTTTAATTTCATATTTTAGAGTGAATGGCATATTTTCCCAATTTTATAATTTTTCTTGGTGGCAGTGAATGTATGCTGTTGCCGGCGCACACAAAAACGGAGCAAAGCAGAGAGAGAAACAGCGTTTTCTAGGGAAAACACTGCTGTCCCACTGACAATATTAAATACTGCTTTATAAAACAATACCCTGAAGAAGTTAAGATGGTAGGGTTAACTGGTTATGGTCGCTAAGCAAAGTAAGGTGTAACCTGCTTCAGCGCACATAAAAGGTCAGCACAAGAGTAGACACCCAGAGCCCCTTACAGTTCCTAAGCACATAGAAAGCAGTGTGTATACAATAATAACATGTTTCATACCTGTGTGATAGAACTTTCCAGAAAATCCCAAATTGAAGGTGAAATTAGGGACCAGTGCTCTCAGCTTGTTTTGAGTGTTGAGCAGTGCCTGTGAAAGGATGAAAAATACACCTCACACTTGTTTTCTTTTATAAATCTTAATTGAAAAAAAAGGAAAGTGATCAAAAACCATTTTGGCTAAAACCTCAGTAACCTAAAAAACCCTTAGTCATATGTAGTTACATTAGATTTGTTATGTGCAATACATTTAGAAAAGCTGAAACTCTAAATTCTAAGGTGGTTTGCCAATTTGAAAAAATAATTTTGGAAATTCTAACAATTGGGCAAAATATGACCAAAGTCAATATATGGTTGGGAAATGTCTGCCACTAATGGAAGGTGTAAGCACAGAGAAGCTATTTGTCTTTAACATGCAAAACCACTTGTATTGTTCTTTAAAATGTACAATACCAGATTTTTTTTACTATTCCACTTGTTTTCATCAGAAACCCAAAGCAAACACAACACTGACATCATATTTTTCAGTTTTGTACATGACAGTCAGAGCATTGATACAGCAGAGACTGTAATCCATCTGTAATCCAGCTGTAATCTAGCTGTGCGTTCATGTTAGTGCATGTGAGGTTTGGGTTTTGTTAGCACTGCGTTCTTTGAGTGTTCGAGCCAAGTGAAGGCCCCTCAATCAATGATATGCCTTGAATTCATTCATAAGAATCTTTAGAATTATATTGTAAGCACATTATTCTTTAACTTCTCTGTTAGTGCTTGGATAAAAACCTTATGGCATATAATGCCCTCGTTAAAATAATAAAAAAACATATTCTTAAAATGAATATTTTTTGTGTGAACATCTCAGAAACCACAACTATGCCAGGTGAGGCAACCAAAGTTAATGTATGATTATGTGTGGTCCCTTGTGTGACTGGCTCACCCACCTCCACGTCTGACACCTTCATGCGGGTTCCCTCCTTGCCAACGAATATATCATCCACGTCCACCAGCATGTGGCGGTCCAAGGACAAACACAGTCTCTTCCCCGTCAGGTAGGCAATGGAGTCTACAAACACCAGCTTGTGAAGCCAGTAGTTAAGATTGTTTCCAAAGAGAACTCTTTGAATGCCATCGTGGAGCCCCAAGTCTTGGACCACTGTGGCGTGGAGCGCCCGCAGGGGGCCAGGACCAAAATGGGCCAGTGCCTCGGAGGACTTGGTGCTGGCCAGAAGCACTGGTTCATAGGTAGAGTGGTTGGACTGGAAAATGGTCCAGTCGTCCCCTGGTAAAGGGCCTTGCTCCACCTGGTTGGGCTTGGTGATGAAGAGTAGAGGGGCATTGGGGTTTATGCGGTAGTCCCTGAGACCCAGGTGTGAGTGAAGAAAGAGGGGGAAGCCTTTGAGCTGTGCACTGAGAAGAGAGTTTTCATTAGCTTTGAAAAAGCCAATGACTCCTACTCCATACTCAGCGCAGTACTTGTCCAGCAAGTCACGGTTCCAAGCATCCAGATTGACATATTTCAAAACATTTTCATATATGATCAGTGTGTAACGTCCACGGTTATGCTCTGTCAATGTGGGCATGTCTCCTTTACCAGGAGCAATCTCTGTCCGGTAGTGGAAGCGGCTAGACTCTAATATTGCTACAATCTCCTGGCCCAACTGGGAGTAGATGCTCTCTACAAACACCAGAACCACAGCGTCTGTCCTGGAAATGTCCACCGCCTTTACCTGTCGTAGTCGACCCTGGCGCTGTGGAAGAAAAAGCGGGGCCCTCTGGATACCTGGCCCCCCTCCGGCGTCCCCAGTACTCACACCCGGTGAAATCCCTCCTCCTCCACCACAGTCACTAAAGGGTAAAGGGGGGGCCTCCTTGATTTTTGGGCTGTTGGAGACATAGTAAGCTAGGAAGGCCATGGACAGTAAGCAGAAGATGATAAGTGCCAGGATAAGGCGGTGAAGCTCCAGCTGGCGGACACCTCGCATTAGCTTCCAAACACCCAAGCCTGCACCTACCATGGTGTTGGAGGGGGGGGGCAGGACTGGACGACAAGCAGCAGCGGTGTACAGGAAAGGAGAGCAGAGAGGTGGAGTAAGGGGGAGAGGAGGGGGGAGTGGAGGAGGAAGATTGAGCAGTAGAGACTAGCACTGATCTGTGCTGAGGAATAGCCATTTACACTGAGTCATCATCCATTACCTGCTCTCCACTTGTAGATCTGTAGTGCTAAATACATGAATGGATTATTATTCATTTGATGGAATGTTAATATTGGGGGGCTGTAGAGGGAGAAAAAGACGTTGGTTCAATAAAAAGTGATTCCAGCAGAGGTGACGTCTGGCCTCTCTTTCATGCAGCTGTGCGGGAGTCTCTACATGTGGATGTGTCCATCTTTAGAGGCTTGTGTAGTCTTTAAGACGTGGAATTATCTGTTCTGGTGGTCTGTGTTTCGGGGCTGAGCCCCCCAAGGCCACCTGCCCTGGACATCCCAGAAACTGACACCTAGAGGATGAGTACAGAGAAGAGTGACAGGAAGACAGAGGATGGGAGTAGGTGAGGAGGAAGGGTGTAGACAAGGACATCAAAGAAGTTAGTTTCCAATCAGCATTCAGTTCTTCTAGCTGAACTCTTTCATGAATCACAATTGATGGACTACATCTGTTGTGAAGGTTTGCAAGTCTCACCTAGAGAACACTGCGGTGCTGAAAACCTTCTAATCCAAATCTGGAAGACCCCTGCAAGAGAGAGAGAGGGAGTTGAAGGGGAGGGGAGTGCAGAGAGAGAAAGAGAGAAAATAAACAATGTGTAACTGTCTCCTGTTTATTTTAAATAACAAACTCACAAAGTGTTACACTGTTTAAGCAAAACAAAAAACCTTCTTTCTTTTTGATACGTTGAAAGTTCAAGGTGGGGTAGGTAATTTTGGAGAAACCGGCTCGAGTGTGCTAGATTTTGAAAATACACAGCCGGAACAAATCTGCCACTTCCTTACAGAGCCCCTCCTCCAACACACACGAACGCGCACATGACCAATGAGGGCACGAGATAAGTTTGTGCACAGATGGAAGGCTGACAGGCAGGTAGGCCATCCAGTTATTTTAGCCGGGCCGGCTAAAATGATTGGTCGTGCTTTTTACAGTACTACGGCTTCCACAGATGATATTTTTTTATGTATTTATTGTCAAAGCACTTAAGATATTCATTGCTATCGGGATGTTAAGAGCATTCCATGGAATATAACAAAAAGTGTATCTCGAGCCGGTTTCTCAAACTTACCTACCCCACCTTTAATAAAAAGTTGGGGGAAAAGTGATTATAAAAAACATATCAGTAGAGCTATGAATAACAATTATTTTCATTATCAATAAAAAGGTCCAAAATGCAAAAATATTCACGTTCATCTGATAATCGAATTTCAACATATGACAAGAATGTTATTTTCACTAAATAAAGCTTGATTGCAACATATGTATGGGCTCAGATCAGTCTCATATTACACAAATGCACACTTGTGTTTTTCAATGCACACACAAATGTGTTCCGTTTCATATACATGTAAATAAAATTCAAATACAGAAAAAGGTTTTACATAAGTATTTTTGATACACACATTTGTTTTCCGTTTAAAACCTCTGAACCTGCAAACACAACCCGCTCTCTGTGCACGGATCGCTGTGCATTCGTGTGAGTTTTTTTTGAGACTCCCCTGACGGTCACCCGATTCGTACTAGGGATGCCAGCGATTATTCGATTTTTCGAATATTCGTTAGTCTCCATAATCGAAAATTATTTTTAAAATTCGATTTTATTTATATATTTTTTTATTATTATTTATGTTTTTCTTTTTTTTCCTGACTTTGTTTCAACCAAACTAAGCGATTAATCAATTAATATTCGCCAGGGCTGTCCGACTTTCGAATTTGATCATGGTCAGTTTCTGGCATCCCTAATTCGTACTTGTAATGTTTTACGTGTATGCCGTACCCGGAACGAAATGGACCAATCCGTGGAGCCGTTACGTTACGTCACGTCACGTCCGCGGAGCCGTTACGTTAAGCGCCCGCTGATTGGTTCAAATTGACCAATCCACGGACTTCCTCACACACACATCTGTGTGCAGGGAGCAGGCAGCTCAGCTGATTTCTCCTCCCTGGCTGCAGGCTGATAACAGACAGTTGGGATCGCGGCGAAATTCTCTCTGCAGACCCATTCTCACAGCGTTTATCAACCTTTTTCTTACTCAATATCAAGCCACACTTATTGTTTTTACTTCGGCAGTGACTTTGTGTGTGCTCAGGATGAGTTTGGCTGTGTTTCGCTATGTATCCTAAACAAGGAAACAACACCTCCACGGAGCTCAGCGCGATTCACAACGTCCCGACCAATCAGAGCACACTGTGCTCACAGGGAGGGTGGAGGGCTGGAGCTATTGGAGCTACAACGAGCCGTTAAAGGCAGAGAGTGAAATTCAGTGAGTACACGTAGTTTACAGAGATGCTGTATGAGAAACCAATGTGAGTTTGGAAAAATGCACAATATAAATATATTCTAGTAGACCTCAACAATGGAATTGTTGAAGCATTTGTTTGAACAGTTTGCGGGTACTTGCTTTCAAGCAGAACAGGGCGGACAAACTTTGCGGGAGTGTTTACGTGTTCGGTGTAATGACGTACAACGTCCTCCACAACTTCTGTATTCTTATTCAGCCACTTGTTAACAAACATCCTTTTTCAGACACGTAAACTCTTCAGAAATCACTGTGCTGATGTAATTAATGTCGTAGAACAAAAAGTGATCCGTCTCTTAAATTTGTGTCAACCACAGACCTTTTCCAGCTATTTTCCAAAATCCTATGGAGAAATCCCATTGACTCTGAGACGAGGGTAAAATGCTAACTCACTTCCGGGTTTTAGGACTCGTTCCTGCACCACTCTATGGCCCAATCCCAAACCACGCCCTACACCCTACCCCTACACACTCCCCCTCCGTGACGGAGTGAACTCCGTGGAGTGACACATGAGGCTCCCTCATGTCAGATGGAGGGAGTAAATACAGCGGCAAGCTTTGGGACGGCCTCCCCTCTCTCTGGCAGAAACAGGAAATGCCGTAACTGTATGCAACAACGGTTTCAGATCAGCATCTCTAGACAAAACATGTAAATTAATAACTCAAATAAAACTCCAAACATCTTTAATTGTGTTACTTTTTTGTAAAACTCTTTTAGTTTTAAACCTAATTTTTATAGTTTTTGCAACACTCTGTAAATATACACAACTTTATAATAAAATGCACACATTTACCTTTTTCTAGACTAAACACAGGTATATGATCCTAAGTTAAAAACATAAGAGGTTATCATGAGGTTGTTAACATCGCAGTTTATCAGTGGATGTTTGCTGGAACTGTTTGTAAACAGCGTGTTTCCTGACGGACACACACAGCGTGTTTCCTGACGGACACACACAGCGTGACTCCTGTCGGACACACACAGCGTGTTTCCTGACGGACACACACAGCGTGTTTCCTGACGGACACACACAGCGTGTTTCCTGACGGACACACACAGCGTGTTTCCTGACGGACACACACAGCGTGACTCCTGTCGGACACACACAGCGTGACTCAGGTCAGGTAGAGACCGGTCTCCAGTCAGCACCGCTGCAGACTCGCTGTTTGAGGGCTTGATAGCCCACTCCCCCTCCACCCCGCTCAACACTCGTTGGTTTGGAACAGCACTTAATGTGGCGGACCCTCGGCGCAAACGGAGGGGTAGTGTGTAGGGGTAGGGTGGAGGGGGCGGTTTGGGATTGGGCCTATATCAATCCTAAAAATGTATTTTTTTTTAAATCATTAAAAACATTGATGAAATTATTTCTCAGAAAAATAAACTGGAAATTAATTTTAAATGTGACTCAATAGATTACATTACATTTTGAACGCTTTTATCCAAAGCGACTTACATACTCAATACTGTGGACAATCCCCACAGGAGCAATTTGGGGTGAAGTGTCTCAGGGACACAACTACATGCTGACTGCAGTGGGGTTTGAACCTGTGCTCCCCTGATCCGACCACCAACGCACTAGTCCACTGCGCCACACGCCTCCAATAGATAATTAAATAATTTAAATTATAAGTTAGAACCGTATGCCACGTCAAAATAAAGTCATAACCTCTTGAAATTAGTAAAAATTGCACACACGTGTATCCTGCTTGAAATCCTGAGCCACTGTACCTCACTGTCACCTTCAGAGATGAAAACTAACTCTGCAGTCATCACTGAAGATACAAAAAAACACTAAAACAGAAACTAATTCCTTCTTATGAAAAATAGGATTTCTAAACTTCCTATGTCACTTTTAACTACCCCTTTGTAATTAAAATAATTTACAAGTAATCACTTAATTAAAAAAAACACAATTTTTGCTCCAAACATATCACAACCCGGAACATAATTTCCACGAAGTTAAAGAAGACATTCTTCCAAACATGTGAAAGAATCCCTCTGAAGCGAGGTGTTACAGTGCGTTGTGAGGAGCGGGTCTGAGCACAGCTTCCTGAACAAACTATTCATTACATCTGCCTGCCCAGTCTCAACATGTTCCAACACACCCTCCCACTCTGCCTCCAGCTAAACTTTCCCCCAATAATGACATTAAACTTAAACACACACACACACACACACACACACACACACACACACACACACACACACACACACACACACACACACACACACACACACACACACACACACACACACACACACACACACACACACACACACACACACACACACACACACACACACACACACACACACACACACACACACACACACACACACACACACACACACACACACACACACACACACACACACACACACACACACACACACACACACACACACACACACACACACACACACACACACACACACACACACACACACACACACACACACACACACATTGATGTAGCATCACTGTCAAACCGTCATATTGAGTGACCTACTGCCGCTACATCTAAAATAAGGCCATCACATACTTCGTGGACTCCACCCAGAGAGACATCTGCGCACCAACAGGAGAGGAGTGTTTTACAAAGATACTGTTCTCAGGTGTTCTTAATCATTGTTTTCCTACAGATGAAGGTAGAAAGTAGGATCTATTTAAAGCGTACTAAACATACTGCAACACATAATGTGTATTCTCAATAGGGTTGCAAAGGGGCAAGGGCCGGTAAGTTTCCGGTACATTTCCATGGGAAGTTAAAGTGGACCTATCATGCTATATTTGAATAATATATTGTATGGCCATACCTATATAAAACATGTCTGTGAAGTTTTTTTTTCAAAATACCAAACAGATCATGCATTTTAGCCATGCCTCATTTCGCTCTATTTGCTCTTTTCCAGCCCTGTTTTTGCAAGGGCTGATTCTGTGAGAAGTCTTCTTCGCTGCTTTTGTGGCAGACTACAGTACCACTTACAGGCCTGGCATATGTACTACAGCGTCTCCAGCGCTTTCGAGCGGCAATGGCCGTGGCCCAACCCCCCATTCCCCTGATAGGTGGAGAGTTGCCCATATAGGCGGAGCACCCCGTTTCTGACGTCAGAACAATTTCAAATCTGTATCAGCTCCGTTGCAGCCCCGTTTTTAGAGATTTGGGTACGGAGGAAAAGAGAGAGGGTTGTGTTTTCTGACACTTGGTGAGTTCCCTGACACACTGG